GCAGGGCCAATTAGCTTGGCGGCCACGCAGAGAGGAAATGCATCATGCCCCCCTGGGATCCCCCTTGAAGGGTGGGGCTGCTCGACGCCGGCCCCCGCTTTCCGCATTCGGTGATTCCCATCTCATGTTGGGCTGATTATTTCCCTGTCTGCCGAATCCCAGACATCCTTAGGGATTAGCGTTCTGGGCAAACGCTGCGGGCCGCAACACTTAAAAGCTCCTCATGCGGCACGGAGTGGGACAGCCCTCCCAGCCATCCCGTGACCCAGGATGCAGCAGAGCTTTGCACGACACCTGGCGGGCTTCTCCTCTCGCAGCTCCCACTGCGCCTCTGGTCTATCCTGGGCTCATGGAACGTTCCAGAAGCAGAGAACGAGCGGGCGTCCCGTCCCGCTACTCGTGGCATATCAGGGAGGGGTAATTAGTCTCCCATTAACATTGGGAAATTGGCTGATGCGTATTAGCGTGTTAATGGCGTGTTAATTACTACGCGCGTTAGAGGGACGCCTTGGGCGGCTTCTCCAGATTCCCTGCTGCCTCATGGACAGGCGCCAAGCTTAAAGAAGACTTGGAGGTCGTCGATTAAAAACGCATCTGCTTGCCGTCCGCCGGAACAAAAGAGCAGCAGGCTGGTTCAGGACACCCTGCCGGTTGCGGGTCTCGATGCCCAGCCCGCTCGTGGACCCTCTTTGCTTGTTTTAATGCCGAAATCCTACTTGCAGGAGGAAGCTGCTTCTGCTGCAGATTTGCTGGTTTTCGCTGCATGTGATCCTCTGTAGCAATGCCCCACCCACCCCTCCAACTGACTGACCTCTGGAGGACAACAGGAGATGAAGTGTATTTTATGGGCATGACCTTCTCTTGGGGTGGGGGGTTGGGGGGGGGGGTGTGTGACCTTTTCAGGTATTTCCGGCAGATAAGTATTACTTTTGATTAGCTGGTTTTTTGGTGCCAGCATTTGTCCTGTTGAACAAAATCGAGACCTTGGGCTGACAGAGATGTGACACTTTTGAGGATGGTAAATAAAACCATGAGAACAGGAGGCCGAAGGACAAATTCTTCATCCTGAATTTGAGGAGAAATTTTGTGATGGGTGGAGATTCAGGCCTCCAGACTGGATGTGGCACATCTGTGGGAGGGGCATGGTGGTGTGGGCGGAGATTCAGACCTCCAGACTGCCCGAGGCACATCTGTGGGAGGGGCATGGTGGTGTGGGCGGAGATTCAGACCTCCAGACTGCCCGAGGCCACATCTGTGGGAGGGGCATGGTGGGGTGGGCGGAGCTTCCCTTTTTTGTTTGCTGTGGCTCTGGGACAGCCCTATGGCTCTGGGATATAGCCCATGGTCATTTGACTTTCACCTCCTTGTGGATTGTTTACTGCGCCTCCAATAAGGGCTAGCAGTAGCCACTGACTGTCTTTGATTTGCGTTGAATTTGGCCAATGGAAACACACCGTTTGAGGTGGGCAGGCAAGCTTCCTGAAGGCCGCCTCAGACTAAAGTCCTGATTATGTAGAGTGACTTGATCACGCCAGCGACAGGCCAAGGTGACTTGAGGAAGTGAGGTTTTCCTTGGGGGGGAGTATTCCACCAGGCCGGGGCTGGTGTTTTGGGGGTGGGGGATTCCACCAGGCCGGAGTTGGTGTTTTGATATACGAAGGGCGGCATCTGCGGTCCAGAGCAGAAGCCTCTTGCTAAGCCTGCAAAGCCGCTAAAGAATACTGTCAGCTTTACTGCACGCTGCAGATTTAATCACGCAAATCCTATTTGTGGATGTTATTATGCTGAGGAGTTTACGCTGCTTTTTAATCGAAAATGTTATTAACTGGGGGAAAACGCAGCTGCATTTTGTGCAAAGTAATAAACTGCGAGAATTCACCAGCGAGAAATGTGTATATATATTTAAAATGTCAGGTCTTTGTCTGGGGGGGGTTTCTGTAATTATCTCGATTTCTGATGTGTGGGCCAGAATAAGCTGGGCTCTGTAACACTGACACTGACCCTGACATGCTTCATTATGTATTACAGCAACTTTCTCAAAGTTTATTCCGTTGTTCCCAGCTACTAACAGTTCACACTTTTTTTTACAACTGCTGTAATCTTTTACTATGAATAGTTTAGCTTGTTATTGAAATTTATGCTTGTAATCTATCAGTTTCATGCGGGGGAATGAAATGGGCAGAGCCCAGACTGGGGGCAGAGCCCTATCTGACATTAAATCAGATTAAATTATACTTTAGGGCATTCAGCTTCTGGCACGTCCTATGCTAGAGACACGGGTTCGAGCCTTGTGGCAAGGATACCCCGGAAGACCCCATAAAGATGGTTTTATCCTGTCCAGTAACCCAGAGTGATACGGGCCGCAAAGCCGCCAGGTTCATTTTCTCATAATGCCACTCCCTCTTCCCCAGCACGGTGCACCGGAAACTTTTGGTAAAAAGACTGGGAAGGATACAGGTAGCCTCTTACTGTCTGAGTTTGAACAAAAAGCCCTCACCTACTTCCATTTGACTGAGAAGCATTGTACCCCTCCCTCCCACCCCCGGCCCCCGGCTGCGTGCCCCCTCAGTGCAGCCCGAACAGATCGAGAGCATGAGCCAGCTCAGCAAGGAGGATTTGCCATGAGCCACGGTGTTATATTTAATGTACCTGACACGGCAGTCTCGAACACAGCCTGGTCCTAGCATTAATTCATTGAATAATCAGCCAAACTTGTTTGTTACGTTATTATATGGATGGGAGTAGATCTGTAACATCTAATTCCCTGGCTCAGTGAAAAATGATGTCTCTAAATCGTGCAGCAAGATCAGTGTTATTGTTTTATTTTGGTGTTATTCTTCTAGTGTTATTCTTTTGGTGTAATTTTTTAGTGTTATCCTTTTAGTGTAATTATTGTTTTAATAGTATTCTATTGTTTCTGTTAGCTTTGAGTGTCACCCTGTGTAGTGGGGGGTGGTAGGGGTAAACTGCATTTATGTAAAATGGGATTGTGAGTTTGGCATGCAGGCCTGTGGAGCTGGGCCATATTTACTCGTCTGAGCTGTTTTTGGCTCAACCCAGCGGTGTATCATGCCCCCCCCCCCCTTTCCCCAGGCCGGTGTCAGCAGCACAAATGAGCTCATTCATCCACCACTTTCACGCCATTACATCCGATGGCCGCTGTCCGAGCAATGCCACCATATCAGGACTCGGACAGGGTGGGCCATGGCACCGCTGGCTCACTCGAGGTCCACCAGCAGGGGGCGGCACCATCGCCTACCTATGCTAATCTCCTTACCGTTTCATTCACCATATCTTAATGAAGCCTTAATGAGCTGTTGAAAATCCCTTGAATCGCGGGTAGGTTATTGAATTTAAACCCCCCGCTCTTGTAATCGTTACATTCCAGGATCTCCTCTCGTCGCCACTGTCGCCACCACCCTCGCCCCCATCTCCCGGCGGCACCATGCAGCGTTATCTGAGGCCGCAGGTGCAGGTGCGAATGTGTGCTGGGTGACGGCTAATTAAAATTCAAGTGAAAGATAGGAGGATGAAAGGAAGGAGCGGGATTATAGGGAAAAGCGGAAGAAAAAGCAGGCGAGCACTCGATAACCAAGGCGAGAGAACTGGGGATGATGTGCGGGGTCTCCGGGGCCACAGAGCAGGGGTGCATCATCAGGGGGCCTGAGCAAAGATTCAGGAGGTTGATTAAAGTCTGGAGCAATACAGACCTTATCCGAGGGCCGATAGTGAGCCTCTGCTTCATTAAGAGCGCTGGGAAACAAAGGAAAATAGCTTTTCCCAGCAGGGAAAGTGACGTTTGCCGGCATGATGCATGCATGACCACTGAAGATGGGGGGGGGGGGGTGTTGGAGAACCCTCCCCAAGCCAGCTCACATCTCCACTGCCCACACACCTGATTTAACTTTAATTACCAGCTTACCTGGGCTCAGTCACACAGGTGGTGCCAAATTGGAGAGAATTAGGACTTGGCGGAGAACCACCGATTCAGGAGAACCCACGGGGTTCCCTAACCACACTCTGATCCTCCTGAAGGAGGGGGGAAGCTGGTGATGCGTACCCTGTCCAGTGACACCTGGCCCCAGGGTGGGGAGCACCCAGATCGAGGAGTGGCAGATAGCCAAACCGGCACACGGTAGCCAGCGGCTGTCAGCTCATGGATGTCATCACCATGCACCCCCTCCCTCTACATCTGACACGCAACGGTCCGTGTAAATAAAAAACAGCAGGAGGGCTGTGGCGCGAGTGACAGAGACACGCTGGTGACATGAGGACTGCCACGTCCGTGCTCCTTCCAGCCATGATCTGGGTCACACAGACATTAATGACGCACTGCGTTTCTTTAATTTGTTTTATAATTTTCTGTTGCTGCCCATGTACGGATGAGATGAGGGTCATTGTTCCTGTTAAGGTTCAGTGCTCAGGATCATAATGTTCAGATGGGATTTTTGCAATGTACCCAGAGATTTTGCTAGCATTTCTGTTAGCGTACACAGCTGAGGGCAGGTGTTGGTCAGGTTCACCGTGTCACCTAGAGTCCCTGTGTCATTGGGGGTCATTGTGTCTCATAGAGTCATTATGTCATTGGAGGTCACTGTGTCACAGAGAGTCACTTTGTCACAGGAGGTTACTGTGTCACAGAGTCACTGTCACAGAGGGTCACTGTGCCACAGAGTCACTCTGTTAGTGGAGGCATTGAGTAGGCTTTTTCAAGATATTGAAATCTTTTTATGGATTGTTTTGATATTTTATTTTATTATATTCTAAAACCTTTAAAACAAATACATTTAGGGCATTTGTAACATGCATAGTTTCTTGGACTTAACTCTTGTATACTAATTGTTTTGGTACGTTGCCTGTTACTGTTTGGTGAAAAATCTTTGTCATGGTCAGGTGCCGCTTTCTGACACTATGTTCATCCAACCTTGCAACCAAACATTCAACCCCCCCCCCTCCTCAAAGTGCCGCTAGCATCACTGATCGCCTCCCTCCCTCCCCAGGCCTCAGCATCCGCGGCGCCCAGGAAGAGGACCCCCCAGACCCCCAGCTCATGCGTCTGGACAACATGTTGCTGGCGGAGGGTGTAGCTGGGCCAGAGAAAGGGGGCGGATCTGCAGCCGCTGCGGCCGCCGCTGCCGCCTCGGGCGGCGCCTCAGATAACTCCATCGAGCACTCGGACTACCGGGCCAAGCTGACACAGATCCGGCAGATCTACCACACAGAGCTGGAGAAGTACGAGCAGGTAAGGCCGACTCCGAGAGGCAGTGGGGGTCAGGGGGATCACTAACGACTGAGGGTTTAGACAAGGTCACACCCAGCACCTGAGCGAGAATCTGACGTAAGATAAGATACGATAGTGCCATTGCTGGGGGGAACAGCTAATTGTACATCTCAAGCTAATTTCACCATCCATGCATTTCAGTTAACATTACAAACTATCTGCATTTAGTGCTGTAGCCACATTGTTTGAGTACGCTAAGGATAGGGAAATATGGCCATGTTGCTCAAACAAACGCCATGCCACTACACTACAGGAAGACATCCGCGGGCAAAGTGAGTTACACAAGTCTGCTTCTTTGTTTTATTCAGTAAAAACTTTCACAAAAATTAACAGAAACACTTCTTAAACTTAAATTGCGCAATCCGCTGCCAAATACTACAGAAATCAAAAATATCACTGTATACTAACCATTTCCAGTCAAAAAGTACATATAAGTTGAACAGACAGATACAATGTATAGCAAGGGTCCAGCTGTTAGACCAGTGTTTCCAACCACAGAAAGTGGTTAATTATCCAGTACGAGAAATTCCACCAGTTTTTCTGTGATTTGTTGCTGTTTTGAGGATATTTTTCAAGCTTCTTAAAAGTTTCCTCCAGCATTTGCTGTTGCTTGTCTTCTTAGCAGATGTAGCCTGGACAAACTTATATTCCGATATAGTTTGCTTGTTCTGTTGAAGTTCACAGTGCTGTGTCACCTTTCAACATGCTTGCCTTACACACATTTCAATTCTGCCGTTTTGCGTTTTTCTTCCTTCAGCGTAAAGTATCTCCACAAAGCCGACATGACGGTACTGACGCTAGCTAAATGAACACCTAGCTAAATTTTTCAAAACAAGCCACTGTTATCATCACGTGACCTGTTTATGGTATGTCACGCTAAGGCTACTAGCATTTTTGTGATTTTTCAGACAGTGTTCGTGATGTTTTGACTTTCCCGGGCGACTAAAAATCTTATCTTGCGACAAGCAACAAATCTGCTGACTTCTAGCAACTTTAGCCACTATTCTCATTGCCGAATGACAGCAAAAATCACTGTTAACTGAATTTTGAATGACGTCTGCCTTTCCTAGTGCTCTAACACTACTGACATTTATAAAAGTAATCAACCTATATAGAATCAGCCACTGTAATTACACATAAGGAGATGTTCTACAGATCAAACAGATACTACACAGCTTAGTCAACATCACTGTAGGGCAGACAGACGCGAAATCTCTGCTATGATGTCTGTCCCTGTGCTCCATGGCTGAATCTCATGAAAACAACCTGTAAGAACATAGAGGACGAGATGCCACTCAGCAAGTGCTTGCAGATGCAGATGTGATTGCATATTACATGACGTCAGCAGTTCATCTAGTGAGTTTAAGGGACATTTCAGAGAGCCAATAGTGACTCCTGGTGAGACGTTTTTGGCCGGTATTGGCCTGATAACGATATTAGGTATCGGATTGGTGGCATCTCTATTGAGGAGATCAGTAGTTGATTTTCATCGTACTAGACATCCCACTGTGATCCTGTACTGGATAAGAGGTGTGGAAGATGGTTGGATACGCAATACAGTATTTTTTGGGGGGTGGGGATGTGCTGAGAAAGAACCAGAACATATCCAGTACCTCTGGGACAGGCATGCTGTACAGTGTGTCCACAGCTTAGCGTCCCTCCTCTGCCCAGCTGGCTTTTGTTTAGCATGCATGCACTCTCAGAGACCAGCTGACTGCCTTTCGTTTCAAGTGTGTTAAAAGCTGTTCACGGAGCCTTGCTTACAGCGCCACCTATTGCTGACTCAGGCATAATTGTTTCATTAAATAATGAAAAAAGTCAGTTCTTATCTCACGGTGGTGCCATTGACACTAGGATATGTTCTTTAAACTTAACCTAAATCTTTAGAGCGAACAGATATATGATTTATTGTTCCTATGCAGAAATGTATTGCCTGATATAACCCAGGAAAACACAGCCACGATCGCTAGCATTTTTCAGTAATACCGATTAACCGCCTTTCAGTCTAAAGTGCCGCTCTTTGCCGAACGATAAAGCGGCAGCAGAAAGTGGCGAGTCGCATCAAATGGCTGCTTTTCCCGGTTACAGTGTCTACGCTGAAGTCTGACCTGAATGCCGTCTATGCCATTAAAGTCTTAGGATGCATCAGACGGTGCAGCAACAGACGTCGCGATTGTCTGGAGTCTTGAAAAAAAATGAACAGCCATAAAAATAACGATTATTTTACGTGCAATTATAAAACTACAAATGGCAATAATTGTCCAGATTTCACACAATGAAACAAAAGATTACTTTAGTAGCAACTCTACGGTGATATAGGTCTCCATAGGGAAAACGTGGGCTTTTATTTGGCTCCGGTGTGGTGGAATTACGAGTACGATTAGCGACGTGGGGACTGCCGGCAAAGCCGCTCGCTTTAACGCAAAAGGACGCCGCCGTGAGCGCTTTTCAGGGACGCAGCCATAGTGAGACACATTAGTATATCAAAGGGAAGAAAATGGCACTTCTGGGAAAAAAAAAAACTAATCTTCCTATTCAAAAAATCAATAGGGATCCTCGGTTTATTTCCCTTTTCGTTCCGCTTTAGTTGAAAATAAAATGATTAAAATAACTCGCCAATTTCTACACACTTGCCTCACCGGAGAGGCGCTTCACGGGCATGTCCGAAGCAGGCCTCGGCGCAGGCGCAGATCTGTGTTCCCCACCTGTTATTTCTATCCAGTGATATAATGGTCCATTAATAGTTAAAACAGCTGCGAAATTTATGAGGTGGTTGTAACAATAATTTCATTTGATGGTGCAGGAGCTGGTCTGGTCTATAAATTTGATTATTGTAGTCTACTATATATGGGTGATATAAAGATGTTTCCGAGTTATGGTTTAAAAATATGTATTTTGCCATAAAAGTACATTTACATAATGTGTTTAACATGCCATTATTTGATCAGTATATTTTCAGCACCTATACTTGTCACGCTTAGGCCTAAAGAATTAAAATTTGGGGACAAATGTAACAAAAACAATGCTTCTGTTCTAATGTATAGTTTTCAAAGATGTATCCTCGGTGACGCATTGTACCGAACCAATTAAATAAATTAACAGAATTAGACATTAATTGAATGAAATGCGTGTAGTTAAGCCGAATCCGACAGAAATCCTCTTTAATATCTTAAAGACAGCTTCCCAGTAATTAAAACACAAACAAATCCAGCTTCTTCTACGTTAAGCGCAGGTAAATAAATCTGACATCAGTAGTGATGGAGACGGTAACCCCAAATGGTGCAGACCCCCGCGAAACAAGCGCTCGAGACGCCCCTGGCTCCACCAAGCAAAGGTCTAATATCAAGACAATATGATTATTCGGGAGGGGATGTATTTGCCGTTTCTGATTATTGGGGACGGTTACAACCCCCTATCCCCCCCCCATAATTTAAGACCACGCTACCAAGGCGCTATAAAAACTCCCCCCGGGGAAGCGTAACATCGTCGGCAGGACTGGCGTTAAAATGCATAAAGATAAATAAAAATAATCACCTTCGTACGCCGTGCACAGACAAAGGGGGACACGCTTGTTAAACAGCCAAATGTTTTTTAATCACTTAATCCTCGCGTTAATTTGCAGGAGGCGCTCTGTGGAGTCTGGGTCTGCTGAATAAAAGGTGTTACTCGCAAACCAAGAGGATAAATGAGAGTAATTCACTCTGCACGTTTTAACGGAAATAGCACGCAAACACTTTGCTGGGAGTGAATGCATCTTTCTTAAGGGTTTATCCAGATTTTAATTATCTAAATGTAAATACTTAACGAATTTTACTTAGAGTAATGAGCCGAAGTGTGCTCCACATAAATGAGTTGTTGTAATTAATCATGTATGAACTACCGGTTTAACGGAAAGCTGTTTAAATTTGCTTCCGCGCTGGGCGTATGCCAGTCTGCAAATCGGCACCTGCGCTCATGGAGGACAGAGTCTGTTCAGTTTCTCTGGAATTCGGCGGCCTGTGATGCGTATTTCCATGTAGCGGGGCTCAGGAATGGGCAACTATAAGCTGTTAAAATATCCAGATAATGCACACTGCAGCTCACTGGTAATCTGTGAGCGATCAGGTTGCCATACCTGAATTTTCATGGTCCTCAGGCTCATTGCAGAAATTTCTGGTTCTACACTTAGCAGTCATTGGTGATGTGGAAGAAAGGGGGTCCGTGGGATCAGATCCCTGGGCAATGCAAGGATTTTTGGTAGCATAAGAGGGGCTATAGATACAGAGCGATATGAGAGATATGTATAGATACAGAGAGATATGTTTTCAAATGGCGAATGACAGGGGAGGGGACTGTCCAGGAGCCAATCAGCATTCAGCGGGGGCTGGTGGCACTGTGGCCCCACCCCTGTCTATGGTCCTGGTCAGATCACAGACTTTGTGTGGTTAGGGTGGTCCTAACCCCCAGTGACTGACACTGAGCCCCCCCCCCTCCCCCACAGGCGTGTAACGAGTTCACCACCCACGTAATGAACCTGCTGCGGGAGCAGTCGCGCACGCGGCCCATCTCTCCCAAGGAGATCGAGCGCATGGTGGGCATCATCCACCGCAAGTTCAGCTCCATCCAGATGCAGCTGAAGCAGAGCACCTGTGAGGCCGTCATGATCCTGCGCTCCCGCTTCCTGGACGCCAGGTCGGTCTGCGCATGGGTGCGTGTGTGTCTGCATGTGTCGCCGCATGTGTCTGCATGTGTGCGCGTGTGTCTGCATGTGTCTGTGTGAGTGTTTGCATGTGTCGGCTAGTGTGTGGATGTGTCTGCATGCGTCTGTGCGTGTGTGCTTTCCCTTTTCTCGTGAGGACGGCTTCTTCCGTAATCACCTGTCTGCTTATTAATTGCAATGAAAAGCACAGGATTACAGTAGCTCAACACGTACAGTAACACTGCAAAATATATCATGGAAAGTACTGCAACACTTCACTGCCATTGGCTGAGTATATTTGTGTATGTGAGAAATTAAATTTGATCCTTGTACAGGTATATAACGATTCTTTAGTTTTTGCATATTCCACACACACACACACACACACACACAGATACACACATAGACACATACACACACAATTGTATTCATATTTTCGTAGGGACCATCCATTCATCTCATTGGACATCCAAACTATGATGACCTTAATCCCTACCCAGCCTTAACCTTAACCATTAGTAATCAAACAAAATACTGCTTTTGACATTTTGAGTTTTTTTTTTTTTTTTTTGCAGTCACAGATTTTTCTTAAACTGAGTTTTCACATGTGACAGAAAAAAAGTCAAAATAAGAGATTTTTATTACTTTGTGGAGATATTTTGTCCCCACAGGGCAATACAGACATGCCCAAACACACACACACACACACACATCCTCGGGGTTGGTTCTCAGGGCGTGCCATTTACCGGTTCCCCCCGCCTGTCTGCTCTGTGTCGCCTCTGCCCCAGGCGGAAACGGCGGAACTTCAGCAAGCAGGCGACGGAGATCCTGAATGAATACTTCTACTCGCACCTGTCGAACCCCTACCCCAGTGAGGAGGCCAAAGAGGAGCTGGCCAAGAAGTGCAGCATCACCGTGTCGCAGGTGGGTGAGGCGGTGTCCCACGTACCCAGGAGGCCGGCCACTCTGCGGGCCTTCGCTCCCCGCACCCAACCCTACCTGGCTGCACAGACCAAGGAGTGACTCATTCCAAATTAAAAAGTGACATTCTCACTTTCTCCGGCATTAAATTAGGTTGAGCCGGAAGGCACCAGTATACCCCGCACCCCTGCCGCTACACACTCAGTCCTGTGGGGGCCTCAAACTGCCCTTGCCTTTCATACCGGGGGGGGGGATCACTTTGAACACCATACAAATCCATGCAGCAGGCCCTGTCCAATCCAGGGCAAACCGGCCGACCCAAAGCGGCCGTCCCGTTTGGGATGTCAGTCTCCCCAGAATGCCAGTCCGCGTGTCGTCTAAAATGTCTTTTTCTGGTTTTGTGTGTGGGGTGGGAGTGTGAAGGAGTATACAGAGTGTGTCTGTGAAGAGTCAGATACTGTAAAAGACATTTTTCTTTGCCTTCAGGGGGTGGGAAGCACCATCACAGTGTCACAGGTATGTCATGACCTCTCCTGATTCACTTGTTGTTTTTTTTTGGATTTGTGTTTTTTTTTTTTGTTTTTTTTTTTAATTTCTATAC